TGAAGATGCTCTCAGAAATGGATGAGTTCAAGAACTTGGACAGTGACATTGAGGGCTCAGCAAAGCGATGGAAAAAGTTTGTGGAGTCCGAGGTGCCAGAGAAGGAGGTGTTCCCCAAGGAGTGGAAGAACAAGACAAGCCTGCAGAAGCTGTGCATGCTGCGGTGCATGCGGCCAGACAGGATGACCTATGCCATCAGGTGCCATGGCCACCTCCTGTCAAGAGCCCCACGGTGTCACTGTGCCAGCTGCGCCCAGTGACCACATTTGTTCCCAACTCACATTATGGTTTTATTTTTCCATAGGAACTTTGTGGAAGAGAAGATGGGGAGCAAGTATGTGGAAGGAAGGAGCACTGATCTCTCCAAAGTGTACGAGGAGAGCAGCCCCTCCACACCCATGTTCTTCATTCTCTCCCCTGGTGTCGACCCGCTGAAAGATGTGGAGGCCCTGGGTGAGCCGCACCCCCCTCGCCAGCCAGCACCAGCCCTCGAGGGAGGGCACAGCCCCATCTTCCTGGTACCAACAAAAAAGATGTCTTACACTGTGGTGGTTTCTTCCCCTCTGCAGGCACAAAACTGAACTTCACCATTGAGAATGGGAAGATCCACAATGTGTCACTGGGACAGGGCCAGGAGGTCGTGGCAGAACAGGCCCTGGAGCTGGCAGCTGCGGAGGGGCACTGGGTCATCCTGCAGGTGGGTGGGGGGCACCACAGGGTGCTCAACCCTGCTGGCAACCAGGCACACTAGAAAGGGCAGGGAGGGGGCACAGGGGTCACCAGTGAGGCCACGGTGCCCCTCAGTCCCTGCAGTGGGGGGGACACGGGACCAGCAGATGAGGGCTGGGGCCCAACAGCCCCTTACTCTCATGGCACTGCCAGAGGCAAGGCAGGTGAGGGGCCATCCAGGACAGACAGACTCTCAGTGTGTACCACACACCACCAGCCTGTGACAAAGGAACCAGAGAGGGGCCAGAGTAGGAGAGTGAAGGACAAAAGCATGGGAGGCCATCCAGAGAGGATGGAGGTCCTGCAGTAGGGGGGCAAGGTTGTTCATGATGCCAGTGACACTGCCTGAGTTGGTTGGGTGTTCTCCACCCAAGTGGTGCTCTGTCATGTGGCACGTGCTCTCTGTGGAGCTATGGTAGGAATCTGGGGGGGAATGGGTGATTCCTGAGGTTGTACTACAGGAGGGGTTCCTATTGCAGAACATCCACCTGGTGGCCCGGTGGCTGCGGACACTGGAGAAGATACTGGAGCAGCACAGCCTGGGCAGCCATGATGACTTCCGGGTGTTCATGAGTGCTGAGCCAGCATCCAGCCCCGAATCACACATCATCCCACAGGGACTGCTGGAAAACGCTATCAAAATCACCAACGAGCCGCCGACAGGCATGCACGCCAACCTGCACAAAGCCCTCGACCTCTTCACCCAGGTACGCCCACCCCACCGCCAGGAGGGAACCCTCACCTCTCCTTTCCCAGCAGCTGTTGAGGCTCTTTAGCTGAGGCATGGCAGTGGTCTGTCCTTCACTCACAGCCCTGTTCTCCCCCGCAGGACACGCTGGAGATGTGCAGCAAGGAAGTGGAGTTCAAATGTGTCCTGTTCGCGCTCTGTTACTTCCACGCGGTGGTGGCCGAGCGGCGCAAGTTTGGCGCTCAGGGCTGGAACAGACCCTACCCCTTCAACGATGGGGACCTGACCATATCAATTAACGTCCTGTACAACTACCTGGAGGCCAACCCCAAGGTGAGGAGCACACCACAGCACAACACACACCGTGACAATCAGCCTCTTTGTAAAAATTTGTCAGGTTGCTGCACTTCTCCTGCTCCCCTCAGGAAAGGCGGTGCTGGCAGCAGCTCTTCACTCCCTCCCCAGGAGAATGGGGGGGTCCCAGTATGGATGGCTGTGTCCATACTAGGACAAGGTGAAATCTATGGGTAAACACAAAAGACAAGGTCCCCTGTCTTGCTCCTCTTCACTCTGTCACCGAGTCCAGGGTCTGCCCCCTCCCTGGACGCTGGACAGGCTGATGCAGGGCACGTGGGTCCATGGCCCTGCAGTCGTGTGCAGCTTCCCCAGTGGCAGGAGAGCTCTGGGGGGCCACTCCAACGCCCCCCAGTGACCCTCTCCTGGTAGGTCCCATGGGACGACCTCCGGTACCTCTTTGGTGAAATCATGTATGGAGGCCACATCACGGATGACTGGGACCGCCGGCTGTGTAGGACCTACCTGGCTGAATACATCCATGAGGAGATGCTGGAAGGGCAGGTGTACTTAGCTCCAGGGTTTTTGATCCCTCCCAGTTTGGATTACAAGGTAAGATTGATTAATCAGCAATTTGCTGTGGAAAAACACTGCTATGGATAAATGCACACTGGTCAGAGCTTTCTCATGCTAACCAGGGGGGAATGTAAGGGAAAAAAGTTTCAACCCCATGGAAACATGCAGGATCACTGCAAAAATAATTCCTGTGGCTGGTGTAGTAAGGGAAAAACTTTGGTAAGACCTGAATAAAAAAATCATCCTGGATAAGCAAGGCCAGGGAGCTGTGAGGCACCAAAGTGGGATGCATGGCCAGGCTCCTCTGCGTGAATCTGCTGCCCTAACCCCAGTGCCCACCCCTGCCCAGGGTTACCACCAGTACATCGAGGAGAACCTGCCCCCTGAGAGCCCCTACCTGTATGGGCTGCACCCCAATGCTGAGATTGGCGTCCTGACCGACACTTCGGACAGGCTGTTCCGGACAGTTCTGGAGATGCAGCCCAAGGAATCGGATGCTGCAGGAGGCTCAGGTGTCTCCCGAGAGGAAAAGGCAAGTGACATTTCTCCTGCTTTGCTAAAGTGATGACAGGTCAGAGCCCAGGGAGTGGCTGGGGGGGAGGACGGGTACAAGCCACACATGACAGGCAGGAGAACGTGCCCTGTAGCAATAAGTGATCTCTTATGTATGGCAGATAGCAGGGAGATGTGATTCTAGCCCAGGAAAAGACAAAGCAGAAAAAAATAATCCTACTAAGTTGTTAACCCACAGGATTTTTCCCAAGGTAAGAGCAATTCTATGACATGTTCTTCCTAGGTGCAATCAGTCCTAGATGAGATCCTTGAGAAGCTGCCAGAGCCATTCAACATGGCGGAGATGATGGCCAAAGCAGCTGAGAAGACCCCCTATGTTGTAGTTGCCTTGCAAGAATGTGAAAGAATGAACATCTTGACCCAGGAAATCAGGCGCTCTCTGAAGGAACTGAACTTGGGACTGAAGGTAGGATCAGGCAGCTGCCTGCACCACTTTCCCTACCCAGTAATGTCCCCTCATTTTCAACGGGCAGGTGCTGGTTTCAAGCCCTGTCTGCCCAACACCCAGTCTCACTTTCTTCAGGTAAAACTGCCCAGACTTTTCTTTATTTTTCTAAAGGGAGAGCTAACGATTACATCAGACATGGAAGAGCTGGCAAATGCTCTCTTCTTTGACAGCGTTCCGGAATGCTGGACACGTTATGCCTACCCCTCACTCCTTAACTTAGGAGCCTGGTACGCAGACCTGCTCCTTCGGATCAGGGTGAGCATACTGCCCATGCAAGTGAAAGCTTAGGGAGCAAGTAGGTAGCACAGAAGAGCAGGAATCACCTCCACCTGTGTACAGTGGTTAACTAGTTTATTGTTCAATATTAATTTAAGCAGTTTGAAGAACCTGAAGTGGCCTGTTACCCCGAGAGTGAGAGCAGAAGTTTGAAAAGGCTTCACCATTAGATCACTGGTTCAAAAGAATATTAGCTAACCCCATCGTACCTTTGTACGTCTCAGAAGAAAAAAAAAATATTAAAACCATCTATTTATAAAATGGCTTCACTAAAAAAAAAACAAACCACAAAAAAAATGGTCAATTCTGCAATCTAAATTAATAGTTTAAGTTCCATTGCTGCAGTGGAATCATCCCAGACTCCCTCCATCCTAGTCCCCCCCTCTGGAAGATGTCCTGGTGCCCGTGTTAAGCACAGTGGAGCATCAGCTCTTTTTCACACTACATCCCAAAGCAGATTCCACTGCTTCCCTCTGAAGTACTTTGCTGTTTTTACTTTCCAGGAACTGGAAGTTTGGTCAACAGACTTTGTGCTGCCTGCATCTGTGTGGCTGGCAGGGTTCTTCAACCCCCAGTCCTTCCTCACAGCTATCATGCAGTCCATGGCCAGAAAAAACCAATGGCCACTGGACAAGATGTGTCTTTCAGTGGAAGTGACCAGGAAAAACCGGGAGGAGGTAACAGCTCCACCCAGAGAAGGCTCCTTCGTGCATGGATTATTCATGGAAGGTAAGAGACTGCATCTTTTAAGAGCTGTTTCAGACACTAGAAAGCCCAGTTCAGCCTTGGCAATTCCCGCACACGGAGAGGGTGTTGGTGCTGGCCCGTCCAGACCGTGCAGCTTCGGCCGCAGCTCCAGCCGCGGAGCTTCCCCCGCGCTGCGGGCAGGCGCCGTCGGGGGGCAGCACCCCCGGCAGGGAGCTCCCGGTGTTGGGAACTGCTGCCTGCCTGGGATGGGCCAGAGGACTGGGCTGGCTGAAGATACGTGGTTCCAGTGAAAAAATATATAACGCTCTTATTTGATGTGGGAGTAAGACAAATCAGGAAACTCAGAACCTAAAATAATTACTGCTAAAAATGGGGGGGATAAGATGGCAGCACCAAAGGGGACACAAGAGCACAGACCACACAGGGCAGTGATCTGTCCCCACCCTGGCCAAGCTCTCCCTTCAGTTGTGCGACTGCCAGGGAAACCTGGCTGAAGGGACATGGGGACAGTTTCTTCAGACACCCTGCACACAGTAAGGCAAAATGCACCCAGGAGTCACAGTGAGATGAGAACATGTTAGCCCTAGTGACTACTGAGCCATGGCTGCCCCACCTCCACCCCCCTGCTGCACTGTGCTGCCGGAGCAACAGCTCCTTCCCGGGGGGAGCTCTGGGGAGAGCCCCCCGTGTCCTGACACCCCCCCCGTTGCAGGCGCTCGCTGGGACATCCCCTCGGGTGCGCTGGCAGAGGCGCGGCTGAAGGAGCTGACGTACATGATGCCAGTGATCCTCATCAGAGCCATCCCCATGGACCGCCTGGACACCAAGAACATCTATGAATGTCCTGTCTATAAGACACGGATGCGAGGTCCCACATACGTCTGGACCTTCAACCTGAAGACAAAAGACAAAGCTGCAAAGTGGATCCTTGCTGCTGCTGCTCTGCTCTTAGAGATCTGAACCTTGACATGGGAAACAGCAAACGCTTTTACTGGCACAAAAACTCAGAGTTGTGCAACTTAGACTCAGTTTGATTGTACTAGAACTATTTCACCAAAGTATCAATAAAAACACTGCTGTTGTGTGGAGACTGCTCTTAAAGTACGTGGAGTTTGTGATGACACAGCCTGGTTTTCAGTTGGTGGTTTCTGGTAAGTGCTGGTTGAGAGCCAGACCACCTGAGGAAGGCAAACAGAACAATTCCATGCAGCTCTCTGAGTTCCTTCCCTTCCCATAGCTCTGCCTCCCCACATCCATTGGTTTGATAACTCAGTGCCACCTGTGAGCAGAAATTCATCCAGCCTGTGCAGGACATGCTCCCGCATGGAAGCATGGATCTGTTTAGACCAGATGAAAGCAGGAAGGTGCAGTTGGCCCACACCTCAACCTGTTCCACCCGGAGGAAGTCCAGCTGCAAACAAACCAACCTCTGAGGTAGGTTTCCTTCAGCAACAGCAATCAGGGTGATTAGAGCTGCTCTGGCCACCACACGGAAGCCAATACCTGTCCCTTTAGCAGAAAATAATTCACCCAAATGCCACCCTCTGAAATATCTGAACAGTTAGTTCTAAAACACAGTTGCATAAAACCACCCTCACGTCTAGGGGTAAGAGAAGCTACAGGACTGCCAGCAGGGCTGCTTGTTAGTTTATGAAGTAGTGGCATTTGGAGTTAATTACCATTAATTACATTTCAGCCTCTTCAGGTGGCCGAAACCCCCTGAGCTGGCAATATAAGATCATACAACAATACGTATCCCACCAATAAACTCACGGGGCAGCCCAAACCTGTGCTCTGACAAACACATTTTTATTTGGCTTCCCGACCAATTTCTTTGCAGGATACATGCTATGGTCTGAGCTTCCCACCCAGGAAATTCCAGAAAACACATTGGCACCAGAAGTTCCCTCATGGCCCCTCCACAATTCATAAAGACACTCGTAACATGGAGGAGCCAGAGCCACCTTCAGGGATGGAGGCTGTATTTCTGTAAATAGAACAGATGTGTGACCTCTCAGTGTCTGAGGTGCCAACTGCACCGACATGTGCACAGCACAGAAAAAAAACAAGAGTGGATCCACGGGGCTCAGAAGGGCTCCAGTTACTGAGCAGTCCACGAGCCAGGCAGATCATGACCCTGTACCAAGCAGAAAAGCAAAACCAAGTGCCCTTGTTAACCAACATCTACAAGGTGAAAGCAAAGCACTGATCAGATCAAAAGAGGACAAAGATTATAAATGTTCTAACAATATTTCTATTAGCTGGTCAAGATCAAATAAACACTCTTCCCTCTCCACAAAACTCTGAAAGGGACATTTCAGAAATGGAAGGTTTTTTCTATGCGTGGGAAATACCCTTGTATGAGTTCTCTTTCACTGCCCCTTCCAGAAATTCTAGCAGATGAAACCAAATAGAGGCCTTGAGCAATCATTCCAGTCAGTGGCAGAAGCCCCAGCAGAAAAGAGATGCATGTTTTTCCCCACATGATCTGTTTCCCTCAGCTATTTCTTCCATGTGATGAGGAGTACTGCAATTGACAGCTGCACTCAGAACAGTAAGAATTCCCCATACGAATGGCAGAAAACTCACCCTAAGCAGCAACTCTTCTCCTTTTAAAAGAAATTCTTGATCAGAGGAGTCACCAGCTTCACCCACAGCTTCACATAACGATTTGGCTGCTCAAATGTTGATGATGAGACTACACCCGAGCACAGGTAAAGCTGCTCCTGCTCCTATACGGGGAAAGATACATCAACTCAGTAAATCTTAAGTGTTAAATTCTATAATGGCCATTAAGAAAAGTGAATTCTCAGATAAAACTGGCCATGGATCATGCCAAAAGGATCAATCATTTCTCCTACAAGCCTGAACCTAAGAGTCTCATTACAAGCAGCACAACTCAGGGCATGACCCCCTGAGCAGAGGGTCTGCCCCTCACAGCCCCTGGGGCAACCATCAGTGGGCCAAGCAACCAACCTGAGGAACAAGCCATTCACACTCTGCAAAGAGCAAAGGTAAAAAGTTTTGCCCTTTTGTGCCCCACAGCTGCAAGAGCACTAAGCTTCAGTTTCAGAAAAATCCCAAATCCCTGGCTGCAAATCCCAGGAAAGGAACCCTGACCACAGCCTCCAGAGACTGGCTTGTGCAGCTCTTACTAGACACAGCTCAGGCCCCTGTTGGCAAATTAATGTGCAGTCATGATTGCAACTAAATTACCAGAAACACTTGGGCTTCTCCAGTACACAACCCTGTTGAAGAAGGAAATGACCCATCATGATGATAACACATGCTCACATTGCACACAAAGCAGCTGTGTGAGCAAAGGTAGAAGTGGTTTTCTTATCAACGTCAGTTAGGTTTCTAGATTTTCAGACCATCTACTGTAAATCTGTTTACAATCCTTTTTTTTCATCAGCTAAGCTGCCACAAAAAACAGAAAATGCTCTGCACTGCTTAAATTCAGGGTGGAACAGGGAAACAGGAGGGAAGCACGGGAAGGTAATACCAAAAAGATTGGGAAAAAAAAAACAACAAAAAACCAAAAAAACAGAAGGAAGATGTTTGTGTGCCAAATCAGTCTAATTTTAGAAAGCCAAAATGCTCCAAGAGATACAGTCAGGCTTGCTGTGAAGATCCTGCACCACAGTTCTCTTACACAGGGAGGTCACCTGGACCAAGACCAATTATCTGAATCGAAGTCCAGCTCATTCAATGGAGCACTCACAGACACCTAGAGCACTCAAATTTCTTCCCAAACCTCATCACACATTTTTAAATGGAACTGAACGTTACATGGGCAAAGTGATTCCATGGCACAGTACCAGGACCATACTAAGTCTTCTAAACAAAGATCACAGAAGAGTACACAAACAGCCCATCTCAAAACCAGCTTCCAGCAAATGGGAATGGCTTTAAGCTCTTTAAATTAGATCATTACAGCACTGTTTGAGAAAATTCCTTTGTCGTATTTTCATTGATTCTCCCCTTCCATTAAAAAACAAGTAAAGGCAAGATATGAATTGAAATATTCAAGCAACTCTTCCAGTAATAGAATTGTTTTTGATTAGACGTACTCTGACTCATGCTTTGGAAGAGCCCTGATGCAATAGGGCAATTCCCATTGATCCTGACTGCGCCGCCTCCTTATGCCAGGACTTGGCTTGGCTGAAGACATTTCTGAGATCCCCAAGTCACACACAGAGGCTCCAAACCAATTTGCTTTGTATCAGAGGACTACCAGAGAAACTGCTTGGGAAAATGTTAGTTCCAGCAGAAGATGCAGAAGCAAGACAGCTGGAGAACTTGCCAGGATTTGGAGAAGCAGCAAAACTACTGAGCAGTCCAAGCTGCCTGATTGGAAGAAAAAAAAATAGAAACCTGGGATACTAACATTAAACTACTGAAAAATGTATGTGTCATTATATAATGCATTATTATTATTCAATATTATATGATGTCATATTACTTCATGGACCATCCAACCAGCCCAGAAATCCTCTTCTTGTACACACTACACTAAGATCCTGTCCCTCTGTTCACCCCCACAGCCCGTGGGAAGCCACCCAAAAGCCAACTGATTGGCACTTTTACTCCTATACATCAGTTCCCAAATGCCTGAGAAGCAAAATCCTCCAGGAGTCCAAGACGAGCCATGCAGCAAGCCTGCCCTCACTGCCCTGGAGCACAGTGCAGCCTTGGCAGTGCCCAGACCTTGAGGACAGGGCTCCAGCTGTGCTGTGTGAGCATCCAGCAGACCCTCTGGGAACGCTGTGTCTCAGCATCCAGCGCCTGAGCACTCCCCACACCCTGGTTCACTGGGGACACAATTTCTTTCCCGTCATGGCCTCCACTTCCCAGAAACCAGCACTTGCAGCAGGCATCTCATCAATAGTCACTTAACTGACAGCTCCTCGAGGCTTCCTATGCTCAAAAGGTTTTGAGTTATTGTAGCTGTAGGTTTTATTGCACCTGCGTCACCAGCACTCCCTGTGACCAGGAGGCACAACAGCCACAGTCCCTCCCCATAACTTACCTGGTGGAGCTGCTGCTGCAGAGCTTTGTTTTCTGTCACTATTGCAACCTGAGCTTCCAGGTCACGATGAACTGATCGATATCCAAAATTAGGAGAGCCAATGAGGGTCAAGCAGGGAAGATCACTCCCTGCCAGGTACAGCCAGAGGCCTGCAGGAAAAACAGGAGAAGAAAGAAAGTGTGGCAGACAAAGGAAATAACCGGGGTAGCCTCAATTGCCTCACTTATAAGAAATTAATTAAACATGTGAGATTACAGTAACTATACGAGATCACAACACAAACCAGCTTCCTTGCAGATGCTCTAGAACATCTGGTCCAGCTCCCCATGAATCTCGGGGTACCCTGCACAGCCTGCATCCTTAACCGGTGGCTGCGGCACACTCAGCACTGCCCAGAGACACATTCCTTGTGGTGGGAATACACAGCATGCAGCGCCCTGAATAATCCAGAATGAGTCACTGTCATTAAGTCAGAGGTCATTTTGCACCGTGACATGTCTCAGAAACACTAAAATAAGACAAACTGTTTTTCAGCAAAGGAAAAGCTGCATTGGCAGACAGGCCAGGCCTGGGCTGGTTACTTCCAGAGCTGGAAGCGGCGCAGTGTCCCGGTGACCAACCCCCATCCCGAGACCACACAGGACAGTGACATGAAGAGGCATCTCCCTGCCCCAACAGGTGAATTCACATGAAACACGACTCATGAGAGAACTGTGAGTTATTACACCCACTCACTTCCTGAGGAGCCACCCAAAGATGAAACAAAACCTGGCCAGGATGCAGGGCTGGAAGCCCCTCACACTGCAGGCCACAGGCAGCTCTGCAGTGCAACAGCAGGAGCAAGTCTGGTACAACCCAGGAGGGTTTTTCAAGTACCAGATGGAAACCCCACACTGTTCTCAAGCACAGCAGGAAAAACAGCTAGGGATGCCACAGGAGAGCCAGGACTACTGCCAAGGAGAGGCTGTACAGCCATTCTCTGTGTATAAATGGATCCAAGATGTGTTTGCTCTCCACTTAGCAAGGTACAAGCACTTAGAGCAGCCGTGGGCAGGTTCCTGATAGATGGCTTATCCCTACTGCAAGTCACACAAAGACTACAACAAAGAAAGCATAGCAGAAAAACCACCTAGTCCTTAAAATAGCAGCAGGTTTCCTAACCCAGCCCCAGAGCAGTTCCAAGAATGCCTTGAGTAAGAAGTTGCCGATTCACCACTGGTTCCTGTAACCTCCTCCCCGCCCCCACATCACACACACTCAGCAGCTTCCTTGCCACTCTCAGTCACAGCTCCTGGCTGGGAACTGGCACTGCCCAAAACCCAGAGGCACGACCGACCCCTCCAGGGCTCACCCCCACCCACAGAGGGACAGGAGCATGGGCACTGGGGGCTTGGGGAGCTGTAAAATGCACCCCATGCGAGTGGCACAGGGGTTCAGCAAGTTCTGCTATCAACAGGACAGCGGGCGGTCAGAGACTGCAGCACAAGGGTCCCAACAGCAGGACAGAGCCCTGAGCCCTGCCAGGCAGCAGGAGCCCCTCCGAGCTTCTCCTTGCTCCTCCTCACCCTTCCTCGCTCTTTCTAAGCAGTCACATGGCAGCCCTAAAGCCTTGACAGTCTCTGGCTTTATGGCCACCTGGCAGCATCTGCTCAAACAGTGACTCACCTTTCCAGAAAGGGGAAGCTCCATTTCCCAGCCACCATTCAGGAGCAGCAATACAGGTTTATCTGGCAGCAAACAGCCACCTGCCCAGCACTCTGTCACCCCACACTTCCATGGACGGGATCCTAATCCTAAGGGATGCACTTGTGTCACCCACACCACCTTGCCCAGAACTGCAGCAGCTGTGGGGCTGATGTGCACCACTGCCACCACTGCACTGGCACTGACCAAAGCTACAGGTAGTTGTGACCCTGGTGGGAACACACCTGCGGGAAGCTGTGCCTGGGGATACAGAACATTTTAAGAGGAGCTGGAAGGGTTTACAAAACAATAGCCACTGTGTTTGGTGTAAATCAGCTACATCCTAGAGGAGACTAAAGGATGTCTTTAATCTGAGCCCAAAAAGGAAGCATAAACAGGCACAGTTTGCTGCTAGGGAGCTCACGTCCTCTTCCAGGAGCCGGACTCCATGTGCAACTGCCCTTCATCTGTCTCCAGGGTTTCCTCCTTTTCCCTCTTCTGCCCTGTCCTCTCCTTCACACACACTGCATGACTCCTGCAGAAGGAAACCAGGTGAATCAAACAGTGCCAAAGGGCAGAGTGTGCCAGAGAAGGGAGCTACAAGCTGATCCTTCCAGCACTCCAAGGAGGAAGCAGAAAGGAGGCAAACATCTCCAGCTGCTCCTCCTGCCAAGCCCGGGGGCTGCTAAACCCCCTGAGTCCTGTATACCTCTCTCAAGGAGAACACCTCGCAGCAGACAGAGCCCAAAGCACTTCACAAGAAGGCACAGCTGGCCCAGAAAGGGAGTGCCACAGGCACTGTGGCAGCTTAGAAAAGCAGTCCATGACCTCTGAGCTCAATCCATGCCAAACCACAAGATCCCACTCAGAGTCAGCAGTGCCCAGCAGGAGGAGGAACCTGCGAACCATGGACTGGTCAAGCACGTGCTTCCTGGAAGACAGGCCACACAGGACTTCCCAGGCAGGCAGGCACCTCCTCAGCCTGCCCTGGATTTCGAGAAGGATTTTACTGCTCCAGCCACCGACCTCCTACAGGAGGCACAAAGCTGGCTGGAAAAGTCTGTAGTTTCGACACCGGCAGCCTGATAAGCCTCGTGTATTTTCTCTAGCCAAGGCAAGTCCCACTCAGCAGCTTTCTCTGCCTAGCCCCTCCCAACAGCCCTGAAGGAAGCAGCACATTCCCACAGCCATTAGCAGCTCCTTTTCTTACACAAACAGCAAGATAACAGGAACAGGCCAAGCCCTTGCATTCTTCCAGCTTCCAACCCCACAGTGCTGCCAGCAGAGGCCCAGTCTCTGGGGAAGATGCTCCTTAATTAGAGCCCGACTGGGTCCCTTACAGTGTCCCGGGGGACCAGCAAGCCACCACGGGGCAGAGGCCCAGAGGAACAGAAGGTGCTGTGGAACAGGACAAAGGTGGGCCATGCCCACCAGCACACCTCCACGTGGGAAGACCTTAAGAATCCAGATATTTAAAAAGTGTCACATGCATCAGATTTCCCAACAGCAAAACCAAGTCCTGAATTAAACAGACTTCCTAAACTATCTGCATTATTCAAATCTACTACTGAGCAATCAAATACTTGCTCTTGTGTATAAAGGAGAAGAACATGAGAGTCAAGGACTGCACTTTCTGGAAGGAAAATTTAGAGACACAACCAGCAAAAACTAGCCAGGGGAAAATATTCCTGCTTTGGTCAAGGTGGCACTGGGATTGTGAAAGCTGTACACAGTCTATCATGCAAGAATTAATATGCAGTCTTCTACAGAAAACAGTCATGGCAGCGTTAATTATTTTTGTTTGTTATTAACTACATTGGTTAGGCAACATTCATTTCTCAGCAACTTCCCCTCCAGATGCCTCCAGCTCCCAGAAGCACTTGGCTGCACTGATTCACTGTGCTGCACTTCCCCGTGTGCCCCAGGCAGAAGCTGGTACAAGTTCCTCAACACCTGGGTCATCCCCACAACTTCCAGTTGCCAAGAGAACACAGTGTCCAGGACCACTGGGGAGTTACCACCAGTGAGCTCCTTCCTGTCCTGCTCAGATCCCACTCGGGGTCCCTGGCACTTATCACATCTCATTGCTGACAATGGCAAGAGGGACACAAGAAACTGAATCGTGGTACAGAAACACATCCAGATGCTCCCTCTTCTCCCACACTCAGAGCCTTGTTGTCACCACAGGGACAATTCTTGTACAACCCCTGGGACTACTTTTGAACCAGACAAGATGTGTCTGCCCCAAGTGATCCAAACCTTTCAGATCTATATAAGGGAGATGTCTGGACCTGGGATGAGTGCTCTGGAGGTTCAGTCCAGACTCGGTGCCCAGCCATCCCCTCACTAGCTGTGCAATCCACACAACACACAAGTCCCAAACCCCTTGTGAACAAGCCCCCCAGGGAAATGGACAGCTTACCTTTGGCATGGAAAGTCCAACCAGCCCTGGAGTATTCCTGCAGCTGGACCCTCTCCTGCTGATGAAGGCAGCAGACCTCACTGTAGAACTGGTGTTCAATGTAAACATAGGCAGCAGGGATGGCACCTGCCACCCCTTTGGCACCAAAAAAGCCGTTCACCTCTGGCGAGGCCAGGAGGATGCGGTACTCGGCCCTGGTGCCCAGAATGAGGTCCATGTAGGCTTGGGTCAGGTTGAAGTAGCCAGTGGTCAAGTATATCCTGGCACCCCGTTCAGCCTCTGTCAACAGTGTCTCTGTGACCATTTCATCTATTTGGATCCCAAAAGGTTTCATTTGGATTAAGGGATAGATCCAGGTGTCATGTTGTGGTTTCAGCTCCCCAGATGCTTGAGAGTCTTGCTGGGATAACAAGGAGCTGCCTTGCTGGCTGCTGTGGAAAGTCTTTGCATGAAGCAGCTCTTGTCGTGTCCTGGCAGAGTTGATCACCTCCATGACTCTCTGGTTTGCTATCTCACAATAAGCCATCTTGTCTCCTGCAGGAAAACCACAAAAGATGGCATTTGAGACCTAAAGGTGCAGAGCTACCATCACCTATTCTGTAGAGGGAAAAAGTCACCCCTGAAGCCTGGCTGTCACTCCCCTCCTCTAGGTAACACCATTCAACCAGATCAGACAACTCCCTCCTACCTTGGTAAGGGTGCACCATCCCCTCCATCATCTGGACCGTATCATCCCGCTGTAACTGCAGAGATACATCTCCAATCGCATCCACCAGCTCCGTGAAGAAGTCTGCAATCTCAGGAGAGTCCTGCAGGAGAACGTACCGGTCCTGACGGTTGGTGAAGTACAAATCACTCAGGTTTGCACTAGAAGAGAAGAAGAAGAGTTGAGATCCAGAACAGAGCGTGGGCATATGACCCTGAATGCCCCAGCCTAGGCTACAGGTCTCTGCACATAACTGGACTAATGCACAAACTGGCCATTTCCTTTGACTAGTGAAATATCTTCCTTTTTTCCTTTTCAGAAAGACTCTTTCACATGAGAATCCCCTATGGAACAGCTGTGGTGGCTCTTCCATCTCAGAAGAACATTGATATGATCACTAGGGAAAGGCCAGATGCAAAGAACCGTGCCTGTAGCAGAAACATCCTTTCCCAAATGCCAGCCAGAGGAATCACAGAAGGGCCTGGAGAGGCAGGACTCACCCACTGAGGATCACGTTATCATCAAAGAGGTAGACCTTGATGTGCTGCAGCCCAATGGTCTCATTGAAACGCTCCGGGATCAGGAGCCGGAGCAGCCCACGCAGGTTTGGGGTATGGAAGAGGGACACACGGACCTGCTCAGGGAATCGCTGCAGCAACGGGACCAGCATCGTTCGGGAATTTTTCCGACCTGGAAGACAAGGGGAGGGTCACCCCCAGGACCACCCCACGGGACAGACACACCACAGCTCCCCTGCTGGAAGCTGCTGGCAGGATGAGCACCCCTCCCTCTGACACCATTCCACTAGTTTTCCTTTTTTGTTTTGTTTTAAGTCACTTTCACTTGCACTATGTCAATATTGAAATTAACATCCAGAAGGGGAAGTTCTTTGATGAATGGGCCCTGGAAATGGCCAGTGAGCAGGTCTGACACTTTTCAAGCTTCTTAGTCAAGACACACAGAGCACCAGTAACACATGCTGCAAAGAGCCACCACAAAAGTTCCTGATTAAGTGTGCTGCTACTCCCAACAATTTCCACTCTCCTTTAAAAATGAAAATATAAAAGAGCATGACAAATAAGGACAAATGCACTGACAAGTGAACACAGAAAGAAAGCACAAAGTGCAGAGCAGCGTTTGGCCCTTCTCGCTCCTACCACCTATTTTCACAAGAAAAGCTGCTCAGCTTGAAGATTTTCTGGGAATAAGTAGTGATTGGCATACAAAAGGGCAGCTTTTGAAAGGTGCGATTTAAGCAAGCAGGTCCAATCAGTCAAGACAGCCACTCTCTGAAAAAACAGTTTATCCAGCCCAACTGTAAAATAAGCCTCTGGAGAAAACAAAGCATGGCAATATCTACCCCGAGATCCCCTGGTGTAGTCAAGCAGAATGGAAACTCTGAGGTTGGGAGACCCTTCCGCTTGCAGTGATTTCTCCAGCGTCTCTTCTAAGCAATCCACCTGCAGAGAGAGATTTCTCTGCTCATTACGGATGCAAATAAAGCTTTACAAGGGAACTGTTCAGCAGCCAGGGGACTGGCAGCCATGAAAGGCCCACACCCCAGCACGGGTCTTTCCGAGCCATGCAAAACACTGCTAGTTTAGCCTTTGCATCTGTCAGTCCTGCATCCTCCTCTAACAGCCTAAAGCAAGTCAGGAAAGGGCATAGATTTTGCCTGCTCACATTCTTCAGGCTCCTGAATAGCAATTAATTTTAGCAGAAAAAGTCCCAACAACATTCCCAAATTGCAGACTTGCATTATCAAGGAGAAACCTTGGTAGGAGTTCACTGATGAATCTGAAGAAGTTTACTCCTTAACTCCAAGGCTGTTTGTCATATGCAAATTCAAATCCTGCACACAAGCCCAGGCACAAAACCCTGTGCAGGACTCCGTCCACCTTTCCCCACCTGTGGAATTTGCATTCTACCATAAGAAACTGGGCAAGGTCAAACTTCTCTCTAAAGGTCTTAGGGAATATTCTGATTCAAGAGGGAAGGACAAGAAACAGAAAAGGTAACAAACATGAGGCAAAACTGACCCATCTAAAGGCAGGGAGCTAATGTTGCATCTGCACGATGTCCTTGGAGCACAAAACAGCCCTGCCTGCCTACAGCTCTAATCATAGTTACGAAAAATGCCAGAGAAAAAAAAAATTGCCCATGATCCCACAGTTCTGCAAAACCCCTTTGAACATTCTGCTAGGAACTTCCAACAGTCTGAAAGACCCAGGCTCACTATGCCACAAAAAATGTCAGTAGCTCCATGGCTCTCTACCAGGCCCAAACCAGAAACTCCATATGCCTCCCCCAGCCCTGCCTCCCACCCAGCACAGCCAGAAACCACAAGAGAAACCTCAGGGAGAAGAGAAAACAATTATGAAGTGAATCCCTGTATGAAAGTTTTAAGGACATGACACTCTTGCACTTGCAGGAGGGGATGCTTTGGAAAGGGCCAGTATTTTCTCTCTGGATTCACTTTCTCTCCTTCCCTGCCCCTTTCCACACTCACCAGCTCCTGCTCGAGCAGTCCTGTCCCCAGGTACAGTGAAGCCATCACCACTCGCTGCTTGGCTGTTTTTATCTGCACCTGAGTGTAGCAAAAAATAAGTTCAAGTTGATTCCTGGTCTCAGTGATCTAGGAGCTAACGATTCCAACCGTGGAAGAGCAGAGGTACCCCCCTGGACAGCCACAGCAGCCAACTCAGAGTGTCACTTCCCTTGCCTTGCAGGAGGGAAGACACAAGAACACGCTGGCAGAGAGGACGTGTGACACTCAGGTCTTGATAGGAGCCCCACTGCTGCACCCAAACATCAAGGAGGAATTCAGTGCTTTCTGGAAAATGAGGAGCACATTCCCTGCAGCTAGAACTAGACAAGAGCAGTGGCATCACTGGGAGTGTGTCAATGTAGGGCTGATCCCAAGTTTTATTCTGCAACTGCTTTAATCCTCTATATCCCACACTGTGAACTGCAAAGAACCCAGAGAACTGCACAGAACCCAGAGAGCTCTGAGCTCTCCTCCAACAACTCACCACAGCCACCAACAACCATGTGGCACAACAACCAGAACTTGCTTTAAACGTGTGTCATGAAAAGACTCAAATGGCTGAGTTGAACAAAGACTTGCTACCCTCAGCCCTGCTCCTCACCCAGGGGATGCAGTGTTATGGGATTCACACTGAACAGCTTCAAAGACCTTGGGAAGGGATGGAAGGAGCTGAGCTGGTTCCATATGGCCGGGAAGAGGCCGGAGTGAGCTCCCTGCAGCCAGCAGCTGCTGAAACAGCAGCCAAAAAGATGACGGAGTCAAACTCTCCTTGGCAGTTACAGCTGAGCAGGAGCCACAAACAGCTTTGGAAGTTCAGGTCTGACACCACAGAACCCTGTAACCTGCTCAGATGGAGCAGCACTGGGACTGCTCCACCAGAGGCAGAGCCTCTATCCTCAGCCCTTTCCAAGACCCAAGTGGACAAAGCCTGCCTGACCTGATCTAGTGCTGACAACAATCCTGATCCAAGTAGAAAACTGGACTAGCTGCCTGCAGAAGCTCCTGCTCACAACTTGTCTGTGATTCTCCACAAGCACTGCAGTCCCCAGCCCCAAAAGCCATTCCCACAACTTGGAACCCACAACTCACCTTCAAGAGTTCATAGAATTCAGCTGGGGATGAAAGGACCTTGACATGCGAGCTGGAGATCCCAAACTCTGGAACCAGATTTCTGATCCACTGGAACCTGTGTGCTCCTTCTGGACAAAGGGAACAAGGTGGGGCTGTGATCACAGGAACAGGAGGGGTGAGCAATGGGGCTAGAAGAAGCCATGATGATCTGTGAAAAGAAAGATGGAGAAATGCTGCACATTGGAGCCTTTGCTTCCCACAAAGAGCATCCAAGAAGGTGAAGAGCTGCAACCAGGGCCAATACACTGTGAGGATCCACAACGGCCAGAATGCCTCTCCCTTTCCACAACTGCAGCTGCATCACCAAAGCCTAATCTAGAAACAGAAAAACATACGAAAAAAGAAGTGGGAGAACAGATCTTAACATCATCCACTCCTTCCCCTAACTGGCAGGGGAGATGGGGGGAAATGACTCTCTGATCAGAACAGGAACACAGGAGAGGACATGAGTGGAAGCTGGAGAAAGTCAGGATGTGAACTCTCCCAAACACCCACGGATCAGATACCCAGTGGTGCCACCATGGTCCCAGCCACCCCGGTCATCTGTCACCTGTCAGTTGTCTCTATCACACACAGGTTAGATCTGCCATGGCCAACACTAACTGCCACATCCTGCTCAGTTCTCAGCTGGGCTAAAGCGTCATCGTTTCCATTTCAGGTATAGATACCTGAAAAGAAATCACACTACTCCAGAAGTTCCTTAACAAAACAGAAAATGTCACAATCCCTCAAGCTTATCCAGGAAAAGATCCACAACATGCAAAGCACCTGCGTGCACGTCCCAGAAGAACAAGGACAACACAGCTCCAGAACAACCTACCAGGGATCACGTGTGTTTGACCAGGTACGAGTCAAGGACCAGAACTGAGGACCAGCAGGCAGCCCTCTGCAGGGACACCACTGGCATCCTGCACAAGCACCCAGGGAAGGGCAGGACTTTAAAGAAGCTGTGAGGGAAAGA